ACTTTTGTTTACTGATTCATACAATGTATAACGTATTTAACTGATATAATGAATAACTCACATGGCTATGGTAAATTAGTAAAAATATTTCTACGTATTGGTGGCTGACCTGGATGTCCGAGGTAGCTAACATGTGCCGACATTGCGCCTTGGCCTGAAGGGTCGCGGGTTCGAGTCCCGCCGTGATTATGGTTGTTTGTTCTTCGTCCTTCATGTATGTGTGTTGTCGCGGAAGGCCTTGTGAATCGGATGACCAGAGCCCATGGAGTCCGCATGTGAGTTAGTGTCTAGTGCGAAGGTTAATTTGTCCCTATTTGTATCCAAATAATAACTGTTGAGGCGTAATAGCGTGGTGGAGTCCACATTAGTACTCCAAGTAGTTTCTCGAGCTTGATACTGGGAATGTTAAGTATCACTGCCGTCTACACCACCGTCTATAGCAGAAATGTCATGTCTGTAAGCCAATCAATGTTACCCCTACGACCTGTGCGAACATTCCGCATTTTTTTTAGTATTTTATAAGTAAAAATATATGCATGGTAGTTTCAAACTCTAAAACTGATTGACAATCTATACTCAAGAGCCGTGATACCTTCGAAAATATAATAGAATATCTTTTTTTTAATTTTCTAAATAATGTCAGACAAATAACCCAAGAGGGACAAGAAAGGCGGTATTAGAGGCTTAGTATTATTTTTCAATTATGCTGCTAATAGAGTGCTTTGAAATATAACGTGAGTTTAGGGTCAAAGTGCGGTGAATATAACGTGCGTAAAGGCACATTCATTGTTTTTATAACGTAAGGTCGCTCCATACATGAATCATAGATTTCTAAATTATATTTTAAATTCATAAATCATTACGCTTTACTCGTAATGTTAACTTTATATAAAAATAGGACTAAATAAAAAAAATAATTGAGCAATTTTGACTTATGACAGCAGCGTTTAACAGAAAATGCAATAATTCAGAAAATATGTGAAATAATTAACATATGTATTCTGAAAAATGATTACTATTTCATTCTATTTCAGATAGTGAACTTAAATCGGTCAAATACCTAAATAATTATTTATTGATAATCAATTTATTAATATATTATTATTTTTTTAAATTCTTAAGAGCTATCAGAGCTTTACTAAAAATAGTGAACTGGAACATAATCATTTTATGTTCATTCTCTAGAGAAAAAAATGCACAATTTGTTTAAATAATCATTTAATTTTCTCAAATACTTTTCCATTGCAATACCATTTCCCAAAAACTGCAATGTACATATGCGAGAGTAATGAAAACTAAAATATTTTAAAAAATTAAGCCAATATAAAAACAGGCTTGAATAATCTATAAGACGTATAAAACGTATGAAAATTAGAGAACAGAAAATTTCATGTTTTTTCTCAACTTTCAGTTAAAGAGCTAACTCAATCTGCAAAAAAGAATGTCTTCTCTCTGGTCAACCTGATGGGTAATTCCGTATCCAGCAATAGCACACTGCGTCTCAATTGTGTTCAATAAACTGTTCAAAAGCGTTCATCCTTCCTAAAGTTAAAAGAGGATATTCTGAGGATCACCGAAACGTTCTTTACGGTCCGTGTCCTTTCCCACAGCAACATCGCACACAGCACGCCTCATAACACCCCTGCAAGCGTCGCGCTTCGTGCGGGCTCGTGTTCGGCGGGTTGCCGATGCGAGTCGCAGGGGCACGTCCGTCCAGCGCGGTGTTGGCGGAGACGGTGCTGGCAGAC